TGTACAGCCTTGCTCGCTGAGGACGCTGGGCGATCCAGGAAGCGGCTGAGTTTGGGCCTCCAGCCCCTTTCCCAATGCTGTCGCTTGCTCGCTTCAAACCACTGGTGGAAGGGGTTGATGCCGCGTCAAACCCTCCCCCTTCCCTCAAACGGCCCAGACTCCGCAGCGAACAAGAGCATGACGCTAACTGCAGATTTATGCCGCTGCGGTAGTGTTCTGGATGGAGCATTGACCAGAAAGCGCTAGGCTAAGTTTCGAGTTCCACCAGGGAGAAAGTGTCCTGCCCGTTTCCCAGAATCCTTCCTTTGAATAAGCCTTTATTAGAATGTAATTGAAATGAGAACCAACCTTTTGTCGGGCAGCAGACACCGTTCTTCAACTCATGATTAGGTGGACACGAAGGATTTGGGCGAATATATTGCGCGTTAGGGATCAAATAGTTCGATCCACATTTTTCGGCTGAAATTTTCACTCATGCATCTGTAGAACCAAGCGAAAGCAGTAAAACCGCAAAAATTAACGCAGAAAAGAGGTGAGGACCTGACTGGGACCTATTTTTACAGTGCATCCCCTACACTGCTTAGCATTTCTGCCAGCTTGTCCATCAGGTAACAGTCGCACTGGTTGAGGTAGGAAGCGGGTCAGGAGATCCGCTGTGCGGCGAAAGCGGCTTCGCGCTAGCAGCATCTTTCATCAGGACAAGACTGGTTAGGCAGCGTTCAGACTTCGCGAAGGCAGCGAATCGGCCGCGCGTTGGGAGCAATCGATGCACATGACATGACTGCATTTTCCGAGATCGCCGTCGAACGCCGCTGTCGATCGCGAAGTCTGAAGCTGCTCAAAGACAGGCTCCCGCGATAAAAGTGTCATGGCTAGTTTGCTGAATCAATTCATGAAACAGTATCTTAAGCTAATCCTCAGGAGCAATAAAGAAACAAGAGCCCTCAAGACCACAACAAATCGGCGCCCCTGACAGTCCCACCCTCCCTGCGGTCTCTCGTGGCAGCCCGGCTCAGCAATGACTTTGTCCATCCCCGCAGTGATATCACGAATGCGAGAAAGAAAAAGACAAAACCAACAGAAACATGGAGGATTAACTCTTGAAAAGGAAAGGTAACATTTAAAAAGCCGGCGTTTGAACCTAGGGTTACGGTAGCGAGCACGTTTTAGTGTATAAAGTGCGTTGAGCTTATTGGCACCTACAGAAAATTGGCATCATTCGTGACTTTTACGCGTTTTACCTTACGAGATGGGTTGCTGTTGACTGTACGTGCTCCCAATGAATAAAATGTGATGAAGGAGAGCAGAATTATTTACGAGCACGAGCGCGGTCAGCAAAAAGTACATGCAGTTCCGATTAATGACTGCCGTCCCAACAAGGAACAATTGAGCGGCTCTCCGTCAGAGGGCAGCTAGCTAGTGAGGCGGTCCAACTGAGCAGGCGTTAGAACTAGAACTTTGAGCGGTTCTAGCTCGCTCCTCGCTCGCTGAGGAGTCGCGAGAGTGAGATAGTATCTAGCTTGGGGGCTGAACTAACTGCCCAAGGAAGGACGACCATGTCTACTTCAGGCGCGGGGGCTGTCTTTAATTTGAATGTCGCCTTTCAAAAGCCGACCACCTACGATGTGCCACGATCAAGTAGAAGCTTTTTCTACGTGCCGCCGCAAGGTGGATCTCCTGACCAGCACCTGATTATGAACCAAGAATGTTTCCTTTCTCTTACTTGACTTTTCTCTTACTTACCCTTCATCCATTGGTCGTGAGAATTTCCTCGTGGCACAAAAACTGCATCGCTGCCAGCCAGAGCAGCCCCTGCAGATTCGTCTTTGCTCGCGGCCTGCTTGCCTCCAGCAGGGCACGCTTCCTTGCATTCCTTTGCTGAGGCAAAGCGATTCGAGTTTCCTCCACATCCACGATATTGGAAAGGCTGGCAGACTTCTGGAATTGAATGTTTATAAGAAGAGGAAAGGACTAGAAAAAGTGAATGAAATGGTGGAAACAGACGGAAAGAGGTAGAAAGGAGGAGTACGGGATCAGCTACTCTGGGTACAAAATGTATAATGTAAGACAGTAGCATTCCTTGACAGTAGCTTTACTTGATCTCCTTTTCCTCACCATTCTGTCCCCCCTTTTTAACAACTTTTCATTTTTTCCAGTTTTTCACTTAACATTATGAGAGAACTTACTGTAGCGACTATCATAGTAGAACATTCGCTGGAGACGGTTGATCGCAGTCTACTCCAACATCTTTCGGTACCATGCAATCCAAAGCGAATGTGAGAGGCAGAGCACAGAG